CCCCAAAACCCCAAAACCCCAAAACCCCAAAACCCCATAATTATTATAAATATTGAACAGAAATAAAATGGAAAAGAATCAGCTCACAACATTACAACTGTACAACCCTGAGCATGTGCTTGAGAAGAAGATGGCTACCAAGAAAGATATCCAAGAGAAGCAGGATGCCAATAGACAGATGGCTACTGACCAAGCTGCAGTGAGAGCAATGGAAGAACTGGTAATTCTAGTTCATTTTCTGCAATATTTCACCTTTGGCATCTTTCCTCCTAACTGAATAATTTATTTAGGTCAATATCGTAGATGTCCAGGAGAGAAAAGAGCTAGAAGCTCATAATAAACGAGTAGAGGACTATAAATAAGGAACAAGAAATGCAGAGGAAAAAGAAAGAAGCAGATATCCTCGAAGTGAGGGAGGTAATTTCCTAGAAAATAAAACCTACAGACCCTTCATAGACAAGTAAAAGAGAAGAAACAAAATGCTGAAGATATCAAGAAGATTAACAAGGCTCATGATCAGATCATCCTTAACTGTCCTAAAGAGGTTGTATCCATTTATCCTCCGATAAGGGAAGCCTCTGAGGAAGAGAAGAAAGCAAAATTCAAGCATCAAATGGATGAGCTTAAGGAAGGTCTTGAGAAACAAATGTAACTTCTCACACATAACCTTTTAGGAAGGACAACACCTATCACAACAAAGATCTGGTATTGAAAGAGAAGAAGTTTATGTATAATGAAAACCAGAAGAAAGTCCTCGAAATGAAGAAGAATGAGCAACAGGAGAAAGAGAAAAAGAGCAAGGTCTTAAACGATTACAAGAAGAGTTGGCACAGGGAAGCTCTCACTCGTCAAATCCAAGCAGAGATCCAAGAAGAAATCAAAACTGCACTTGTTAATGGCGAGGATATGGACAAGTTCGAATTTGATCAAGAGAAATTCAAGAAATTAGATGAGTGAAAACTTACAGAGGAAGAAGAAACTGAAGTTAACCCAGATGATGCAATCTCTCTAGCCTATGATCTGTCTGAATATGGTGACAATATGATCAATAGACTAGTAGAAGAAGGATCAAAGAATCAGAGGACAATTCCTGCAGCCCAACTTAAAGAGAAACTTGAAGCTATAATAGAAGAAAATAACGAAGGTGAAGGAGAAGGGGATGCTGAAGATAAAAATAGTGAATACAAGCCAATCACCAAAGCCCAGCTTGCTGCATATGAAAAGTTATTGGAAAAGTTAGGGAAAGATGTCACCAAAAATGGCCAGGAATCCTCCCAAGAGGATGACACCTCAACTGTGTTGCACACTGTTGCTACTACTGCATTATCTAACGGCCAAACTTATTATTCAATGAGGAAGATCAAAGACTATCTTCGTAAAAAGGCGAAGGAGGCTAAAAAAATAGAGATAGATCATGAAGATAAAGAAGCTTATGAGATGATGAAGAAGCTTGAAAAGAAGCCAAAACAGAAAATCACTAACCTTTTTAATCCTATGTCAGTCCTCAAAGATAAGCTAGACGGTAAGGAAATACCTAAATTTTAGAAGAGACATCAGAGAATAAGGAAGCAAAGGAGAAGTTCATGAAGAGAGTAGAAGAACTTACTAGAAAAGAGAATGATCCCTACAAAAGGATCAAGGAAGCAGCAAAAGCAAAGAGAAAGAACCCTGAGAAGGTACACATGCAAGCTGTTGAAAAGTACCTCAAAGATCTTGAGTCGAGAGCTATTGAGGATAAAAACTTAGCTGTCCAGCAGAGACCTCTAAATGAAGAGCTTATTCAAAAACAGTTATCAACTAAAGGGCTCAGTGCTAAGTTTCAGGATGTTCAGTGCGATCTGTGAATAATGGGTATCTCCCACTCTCTCTTTGAATGTATGAACCATCAGCAAATGATCAAAGCTATGAGCACCAAGAATGCTGCTTTCGAGGTCAAAAGTATCATTCAAGGTCAGATTCGTGAGAAGAGACAGAGGGAGCTGCAAGAGAAGCTCAATAAAAGAGTAAATTCATAAAAATAAAAAACTATAGCAACCTGGAATCGAAGGAAATGAAGGATATCCAAGATGCAAGGAACTTAATAAGAGCGACAGAAAGCAGTTGAAAGTCATGAAAGGAGATGAGCTCAGGCAAGGTCTTAATATCCAAGCTGAACACAAAATACTTGCGCTACGCACACAGAGAGATAATGATAAAAATGAAGAATCCAAGGCTATAAGAGAGAACCTTCAAAAAATCTTGAATAATAAATAAGCAAGAAGATATGAAATCCAAGAGTAACAATCCTCTTGTAATCGTTTAGCTCAAAGAATGATTTTGCAAAAGGAATGGGACAGAAATGAGAAAGTAGGAGACCTCAAGAAGGCAATCCTCAATAGAAAGATTACTCCTTATAACATTGAGTCTCACCTGAAGGGTATGGTCGGAAACATGTCTGCTAAAGAATACAAAACATTAGTTGGAGGAAACAAAGTTGATACAGTGAAAAAGTTCTTCGTTGAAAGTAATAAGCCAATTGAGGCTCTACCAGAGAAATCAGACTTAAAATTGTCCTATAATATTGCTAAGAAGGACGACCATGAAATTATTGCTTATGAGACTAGTAGACTTCATAGAAGATCCATGACTGACTTGAAATTTAACAAGTTTAATGAGGTGTTGAATGTAGGTAAATCTATGCTTCCTGATATCCATTCAAACAGAGGAGGAAGACAGAGCATGTCAAAGATACATAAAATAGGTAAGGTTCCCTCATCACAGCAGTTTCACCTGTCTAGACTACACCAGACTCAATCCTATTAACAAGAAGAGATTAGACAGAAAACCCACTGATGATATTAAGTTAGTATAGATCCAATCAAAAGAATTCATCTGGGGTTTTGGGGTTTTGGGGTTTTGGGGTTTTGGGG